AGCTTAAGACGAGCTCTTTCAAATGGAAATAAATTTATTTTGAATATCCTTAATATTTGTGGTTGAATCAAGCTCCGGAGAAAAAGATAGGTGGTGGGGCGAATCGTTCCACAAACACAATGGGCAATTAGCGTGTTTTTGGGGACCTCAATGTGGTCGGAAGGGGTGGTTGACTGAGTATTTTTGTAGCACCATCAATTACCTTTCCAACGGTACCACGGGTTTGACAATGCGTGGACTACTTCTTAGATAAATAAAAATCGGCGCAAAGTCATTTTTTCGAATTTTGGGCCAAAATTCGCCTGTCGACCGATGAAAATAGGTAGTGTCACTTTAGGCGTAATAACTTCGCTTCTAGCGGTCCAAATTCCATGAAATTTTGACACAACATCAGCGAAGGATCGACAAATCTAACATCAATACTTTTCTGATGATAAACTTATGAAAAAACACTGAAAATGCGGCTGGAACGATTCGCCCCATGGGGTGGAACGATTCGCCCCACCATTTTTTGCAGAGCCCGAAATGGAAGCATCCGCCCGAAGGGCAATATCAGACCCGAAAAGAGGACAAATCAAAAAGTGTTCTTCTATAAAAGTTAGGTATTGAATCTAGCTACAAGATGAACCCAAATTTTCATGATTTTTTTAAAATTTCTACGGAAATATTAATTTAGGGACAAAAATGGAACGATTCGCCCCACCTTACCCTATGCGTATGCATATGCATTTATATTGTGAAATACTAGAACGTCAAAAGACAAATCCAAATTTTTGTTGAATTAAAAATTAGAAAAATGAAAAAAGCCAATCCCAAAGAAAAAATTAATCACTATTTCCCCCAAGAGAAAGTAAAAGAAAGGAAGACTCGCGCCGATTTTCTTCAAACTCGATTAGAAGATTCACAAGTTACGAAAGGGGTAAAAAATGTGTGTAAATGCGAATGTGTGGAAAGAGTGAAAAATTTAGAAAATGAATTAGAAATCGCCCAGAAAAGAATAAAACAGTTGGAACTATTAAACACTGAACTTCGAACGGATTGTAAACAACTAAAGAAAATGTACTCGGTGTCAAATGAGATTAACCTACACAAAGACATAAGAATTCAGAAACTTGCGAATCTATCGAGCACAGATGAAAATCAAACACTTTTTTCAAAATTAACCACCAATTTTGATAAGCTCACTTTATCCGATTTCAGAAAAATCCCCATTGGAAAAAGTCACGACTCGACTATTGTGAAAAGATGCCTCTGTTCGTTATACGAGCAAAACATATGTGTTTTGGGAAATATTGGTGTAACAAATAAAGGTGGAAAAACAGTGATATCACCACAGAAGAAAAAAATTATTAATGAAGTGCTAACAGAAAAAGTTCAATCTGAAAATCCAACGACCGAAGAATTTAATCAAAGAATATCAACGAGCAAGCTAAATGAACATATACGATATGGTATAAAAAACATCGTTCAAAGTAAATTGTTCAAAGACGCATTAGCGCGCAAACAGTCAAGTGATACTCAAAATTAGTTTGAAAATCGCGCCGAATACAGTATTTTAAAAATCTAGTACAACAATTTGACACTGCTAAGCGGTCGGCCGTTAGCTATTTGAGTCGCAAACATTCTTTATTATTTTATTCGTTCTTTCTGCTGTGGTCTGCTGAACTGTAAGCATCGTTTTATTTTCGCTCAATAAGAACGTTCTCAAAGCCTACTCTTCTGAGCAAAAGTGCTAAGCAAACAGAAAAAAATAAGAAAGTTTCACATTAAAAAAACTTTGACGGTGTAAAAGTGAAAAATCATATTCTTTCCCCAATTATTTTTTCCAAAGGCTACTATTTTTTTCGTAGCAAATCGCTAAGTAAACAAAAAAAGAACATTTCATATAAAAAAACGTTATCTCTGTTCAGTAAAAATCGTTCTCTTTCAAATTTTATAGAAAGTTTGCAAAAAAAAACATTGAATTATGTCGGAACGAAATATTCGGAATAAAATTTTCAAGGAGAGAGGCGACACAGTTGTTGTTTATGAGGTTACAGAAGTTCGCCAAAAAAGAACTGCACGCCGTACGATCAAAACTGAAGGCAATGACCCTGTTGGATCAAACAACAACATTCGTATGGCCAATCGTAGTGCTGCCGTTGAAATAAGTGCAACGGTTCCACAAAATGCAATCGAAGAGCCCATTGAAGAAGCCATCTGCGATCGCAGTGTGCATGTGCAATCGGATGAGCCGACGGACGCTAGCCCGGTGGTTAATCGTATGGTTGCTGTTGGTGCTAACGCAACGGTTCCACAAAATGATACCGCGACTCACGACCATACAATTGTCTGCTCCGCTCTAGAAGGGTTATTTAAAAATCTCCAATTGTGCGACCAATCGGCTGATGTAATCAACATTAGCGACGATGACTCAGACGTCGAATTTGTTTGCGAACTCAACGACTCAGATGTCATTTTCATACCAAACGAAAATTGTAGGTATTTTTTTTTGTCACATAAAATGTGATGCACATTCACAAAAGTGATATCATTTATTTGAAACTATTATAACAATTATTTTTTTTCTGTGTTTTTAGCGGCTGAACATTCTATGGAATCAGGCGTTGAGGAGGCCAGTCGTGGTACGAAACCGGAGCCCAAATTCGACGCTGATCAACGTGGCCAGGCCGATGGTGATTTCGACGCATATTCTATGAACGGTAAGTTCAATCAAAACAACTGCACTCGCTAAGAGCTTGAGGCCGTTATTTTAAATCGAAAATAGCACTTTTATCCACACATTTTACTTTTTTCCCGTGCTGGTATTTACTGTTTACCGATGTACGACGGTACGATCGATGTTGTCCTTTGGTTCTTTGTTATTGTGCACACGGCATACCGAACATTCAAGAAAGAACCTAACATTTTACCAAAAAGTCTTGTTTGTAACAGTTGAGCAGCTCTCTCGGCTCTTTCTCGGGGCCGAAGAAAGAATGTTAGGCGCGAATTCCCAATTTCACGATATAAAAGGACATGTATAGTGTTTGCTGGGGTGTTTAAAAGAGAATTTCTGTTCTTGCAAAATCCCGAATGGAATATGAATTTGATGTACAATCATAACAACACTCGTTGCCAATTATAAAAAATTCTGGCATATACCAAGAAAATTAATTATATTTTTCTGTTGTTTCAGCGACTGGATATTCGATGGAATTTTGCATCGAGACGGCTAGTGGTAGTACGGAAGAGAAGGCCAAATCTGCCGCTAATCAATGTGGCCAAGCCGATGGTGATTTTGGCGCATATTCTAACGGTAAGTCCAAACCGAATCGAGCGTATGTTTTCCTCTCAAAAACAATTGAAATGACTAACCATTTTTTTATGCACATTCACAAAAGTGATATCATTTATTTGAAACTATTATTACAATTTTTTTTTTTTCTGTGTTTTTAGCGGCTGAACAATCGATGGAATCAGGCGTTGAGGAGGCCAGTCGTGGTACGGACAATTCGGACGAGTATCTTGGCGATAAATCGAACGAATCAAACTCATCGGATGAATCATTCAGTCACGTCCATCGTGATTATTCGTTGGATATGATAAAACTTATGGGCGTAAAAAGACAATTGAACTTCGATGACATGTGAAGCAAGTGTCAGACCATTCAATTATTTTCGAAGAAGAAAAAATCTACATTATTAATCAAAAGTTAATTAGAATCAATGATTATTTTCCTTTGTAATTCGCTTTCTTTAAATAAAAATGTCAATTTCTATGGATTATGAATAAAAATTCAAAGAAAATACGTTGCGTTAAAATTACTTACGTTGTGTTTTATTCGCTCACATGCTTTGCTCTTGATTTACATATGTGTATGTCTTGTGCCGAGTATTTTTCGGTCATTTCATGCTTCCATATTTCATTGCAGTTGACCGACTTAGCGAAGGAGAGAAAGAGAAAGTCGGCGAGAGAGAGAGAGAGAGAGAGAGCAATTGGAACTTTTGCCAATTGTGCAGCGTTCATAACGAATACATAAAGTGAAAGACAAATAACAATGATGCACTGTACTTTTTATTCTAGATATCTAGATTTTGCGAATAGACAGATAAACTGTGTGCGAAACAAACAAAATGTAATATATGCTATTGCAGTTTAGTTTTTAAAGGAATAATTAATTCAGCCGAATATGTTCGAGAACGAGATTGGTTGTGATCTACCTATTCCCTGATTGAACAGCCAAACAATTTACTGCCAAAATCATTGCACTCGAAAAACCAAAAAGTTACTCAAATTAGCTAAACCAAGAAAAACCACTAAACAAAATAAAACTAATTAAACGGTGGAATTGTCAATCGATTTGATCTAAATTTCAAAGTGCAAAAAATAATTGGTCCAATTCATTTATTATGGTATAGCCGTCTATTATTTACGTTAGAAATCGATAGAAAATATATGACATTGGTTTCTCATAGAGAATATATGATATTAAATGATAAATAGGATATTCATTTATTATATTGTTTTCATATTGCTGGAAAATCAAGCCATTTATCATATTTGTTTTATTGAACGTTAAACGATGGATTAATAAAAATGAAAATATATAACGGTGCATGAATTTATTTTACATTTTAATGCAATGATGTCATCATTCGGGTTCAATTCACTTACCGCAGAAGTCGCAAAAGGTGAAAGGAGTGTTCGAAGTAATTGAAGTGGACAAGAATTCGAGTATTCGATGATGTTTATTTTGCATTTTAAAAAAGACTTCTAACAATTTTTCGCTTAATAATTTGTGCATTGATTTGCTTGATTGAGCTATTTCGTTGACTTGTGTGGAGCCAACGATCGAAGCAATTTGAAGCATATCGTATTTTGTTTATAAGACGGTGACGCTCATCGAATTTTCGATACCGTCACTTGCATTCTGGTTGGCCTCTTGCATCAGATCGATCATTTCTAAGTAAAAGTGTGGCCAAGTTGGTGGTTGATACATGATCAAATGACGAATCCGCTTGATGCGTGTTCGTCGGAAAAAGTGAGCACGCTCTGAATACAGCATAAAATGAGCTCCACTGTGGAAAAACATCTATCTAGCTCGATCAATCTTTCCATCCTGTAGAAAACCAAACTGTTTAGAACATGTTTCAAATTTATTGCCATCAAATACGACTTACCTTTGTATTTTCGCAAATTTGTGTGAAATTCATTGTTTCCTTTTTGAAGTAGTTGCGAATGCGGACAAAATGGAAGTAACTCGGAATGAAGACAAACAGTGGGTCTTTGAAGCTGCCTTAAATTGTGGCAATATATTGTTTATGAAATATTCGAACCGTTGATCGGATGACGATTGAATTGACGATATATCGATGCGATGGAACATCTGTGGAATTGGCACCTCAATGTGTTTGATTGATCCATTTTCGATGGGACTCATCAGTCGTACTTTGCCACGATAGTTGGAGCAGCGTTAATTGAACAGCAATGTTTGACAATAGAAACGGGACCATCCATTTAAGCACCATGGCCGCATCCGGGAAAAGCCTGTGTTTCGAGCAGATTGCGGTTGTAAGTGCAAATGATCCAGTACGTGTAACAAATGGTCCCAATTTTGTGCTAAAAATAAATCGGCTTGATCCAAAATCAGTATTTCAATCGATACCAAAAAATCATAGTCTCGCTCTTTGTCACCGGACGCACCGACAATCATTCGCAATCCAAGCGGTGAAACGATTATAATGTCCGATGAATAAAATTCCGAACACAATTTGATGGATTTTCGAGTGAACGTCACACCCAAACGAAATGTGTCATCCGAATTACCAGCGAACGTGAGCTCATAGTATTCAGGTATTGGATTTTTCTTTGGGAAATGCAACGTCTCACCGCCATATTCACTGACGAAACGTTCGTAGTGCATGACTTGTGATTTGCTACCGGCATTCTCTTTATCGTCGCCAGGGAATGAAAGTGAAATCAAAATGTTCACAATACGAAGTGCTGCAAAGAAAAAGGACGAGCAAACCAGTTAGGACAACATTAATTTTGTCAAATGACTCACCTGCCTCACGGAATGGAAGCCCAATCAATACCTTGGCTCGGAACAGCCCTTGATCGCGATATTTATCCGGAATAATGGCAGCTGCCTTCGAATCGGCCGTAGACATCGTTTTTAGCTTTGGATTGTGGTTGAGAACCTTTGTTCGTAAAGTTTCAAAACGAACCATAAATAAACTGTTCTGCTGCAGTTAGGTATACTCAATCGAAGCGTAAAGCTTAAAAAAATCCCGAGCATCCGACAGAAAATAAGAACACTGAACCAATTACATACACTTTAAAGTATTTTATATGCGTATTTACATATTTCGCACAAATCGCAAATTCTTTCTTTCTTTTTTCATTGGTATAACGATATAGAAAACAAATGACAGCTACGTGCCTTTGGTGCCTTGAATTTGATGCTGTTGTTGTTTATTTTGAATTCTATATGTATATTCCGCACAAATTTGATTGTTCACATTGTATGTTTGTCTGTGTTTTTATGAGCACCACACGGGAATTGGTGCGCGAAAACAATGAGACAGAAACGGTTTCGAGGAGAAAGATGCAGGAATGGTTGATTATTTTTCGCCACAACAACATACAATCAGAGCTGTTGTTGTTTTTTTTTCCATTTCTGTCCCCGCGAATTGATTTTTAGACGAAAAGAAGAAGAAGAAGCAAAAGAAAAAATACACAGTCCCGTGATGCGTTTTACACTTAAAATTTTATTCACTGAAGTATAACCAAATCTCGTTTCTTCTGTTTCGCTTATTTTCCTTTCTTTTTTTATTTTATTTTTCTTCACTAACTCTTTTCAGTACGCTTGCACTCAATTCTCTCTTTCTCTCGTCTCGTCTCGTCAATATTCCAAAATAGTACATCAAATAATTGATTGCTGTATATTCTCTACGTGCAGATTCGTAGTTTTTTTTCTTGTGTTTCTCGAATGTTGTGACATTCAAAGTATGATGTCGTATGTATGAACTGTTCCACGCATTATTTTTTATAAATAATATTGATGTTTCTACACAACTAGTGCGCACACACTTACAGACTATGTATGTTTTTGCCTGTGTGCGCGCATCGCTAGCTGTTGTTTGTGTGAACGTAAGCGATGCAGTTTTCGGGACCAATTCCTATACTTTCCCTTGACACGTTGTGTACGGAAAAGTAAAATTTTATATTGAAAGTGTGTTGATACATTGATTTCCAAGCATTTTTCGAAGAATTAATTCAGGTAAATATGCCTAAAGTTATCGCGTAACATTATTATTTCGACTCACAAGAGGAATTTTGCATGAAATGTTTCTGTGTGAGTCATACGACGTCATCTTGACAACTTGTGTAAGTGGGGAAATTCGGAACACTTTTGGTGGGGAAATTCGGAACACGTGGTTTTTGATATTTCTTGACATGTAATCGCATTTTAATGCATATTCATTGTATTTCATGCATAATTTCGATGGAATATTAAAGAAATATTAGTTTAGTGGCCTTTCTATTTATTTTTGTTCTTTTTGTCAGATTTTTTATCTTTTGTTCAGTAACGATGGCACCCATGCCACCAATGCCGCGTTATTATCCCAAAGGTGATACACCAACTGATTATGACAATATTTTGGAAGCAATCAAGGCAATCAAAATCGACAAACAATCATATCGAGCGGTTTCCGAGGCTTACAACGTGCCTAAAACCGCATTGGCGCGTTACATCGCAAGGTTTAATGAATTAAATGTGGATCTTGCAACTGCTCAGAAGGTTGTATTGATGGATATACTTAAAGACAGCTCTACGGCCGGTGCAAAACCGGTGAGTTATTGATTTATTTTTGTTTTTTTAGTTATCATTAATAAACTAACTTTTATTTCAGACTAGCTATCTCGCCTCGCTTCGCTCGGCTCGGGCTATATATATAAAACTGAATGTTCGTCTGTGTGTGTGTATGTAGCCAGTTATCTCTCCTTTTTTTGATTCATGATTCTAATGTTATGCGGGCCGTTTGATTTCGCGCGGCCTCCAGATGGTTCTTATAAATACCGTTTTGATTTTCGAATTGAATTTTCAAAAGTTTGAAGAAATTTTTTTTAATTGTTTTTCGATACAATGTACATTAATGTGGATTGATGGCAATGAAATATTAAATGCGTATTATTGTAAAAGAGATTTGAATTCATTTAAAAATAAATAAATTGAAAAATTTCATAATTCGCATCAGGACAAACCATACATGAGTGAAATTTGTTTT